TTTGTAGTTTTAGTAGAGACGGGGTTTCACCGTGTTGACCAGGATGGTCTCGATCTCTTGACCTCGTGATCCACCCGCCTCGGCCTCCCAAAGTGCTGGGATTACAGGCGTGAGCCGCTGTGCCCAGCCTCTATTTTCTAGGTTCTGAGGCAACCCCCAGCTCTCCACCAGGCATGAGGATCTCTGGATAGTCTCACTGCATTCTGGCAACCTCTTGATTTCCTTGTCTCCCTTGAAGCATCACTCTCCTGTCCCGCCCTTTTTTTTCGACAGGGTCTCAGTCATCCAGGCTAGAGTGCAGTGGTGCAATCATGGCTCACTGCAGCCTCTAACTCCTGGGCTCAAGAGACCCTAATGCCTCAGCCGCTCGAGGAACTGTTTCCCTTTCTTATATCTTGTAGAGATGGGGTCTCACTGTGTTGGCCAGGCTGGCCTCAAGCAATCTTCCCGCCTAGGCCTCCCCTGTCCTGCTGCTGCTGGACTCACGGTGGTCCTGGGACCTCCTGAGACCGTTTCATCGCTGCTAGACTCACGGTGGTCCTGGGACCTCCTGAGACACCATTTCATCACTGCTGGACTCACGGTGGTCCTGGGACCTCCTGAGACACCGTTTCATTGCTGCTGGACTCACAGTGGTCCTGGGACCTCCTGAGACACTGTTTCATCTGGTTTTACTCCCTCCTTTTGTTGGTGTGTGTTCCTGGGCAGAGAGGCTGCCCTGCACGATGGAAGTGTCTCCTGCCTCCACTGCTAAGTGAGAGGGTGCTGGCGCCGGGCTTCCAGCCTGCATTTCTTCCTCTTCCGGATTCCGTCATGGTTTATCTCCCAGTTTCCACATGTGCTGGAGGCTGAAGGCGATGCCTTTCTCATCTCGAGCCTCCCTGTGTGAGCTGGGCTTCCCGTCCTTTTTCGGGAGTGTTTGAGTTCCCATGTCTTCGTATTTCACGGTGATGTTCACCATGTAGCCCTTTCTCCACCCATTTTGCTGTGCACTGGGTGGGCCACTCAGTCTGCAAGGTCACGCCTTTCAGTTCTGGGGCAGTTTGGGGAGTTATTTCATTAGTGAGATCCTTCCCTGTTTTCTTTTTGCAACTCTTACTTGCCACATGCTGGGATCCAATAAGCTCAAAGAATTCCACACACACAAAAACATAAAAGACAAAAACACCGGGATACATCATAATTTCCAAGGCAATGTTGTAAAAACAAAGCTGTAGGACCCATGCTTTCAATTTCAAAACCTACCAGAGTTGTAGTAATCAAAACGGTGTGGTACTTCCATAAGACCAGACACAGACCAATGGAACAGCAGAGTCTAGAAATGAGCCCATACAACTATGAGCAAGGGTGCCAGACCATTCCATGGGGAGAAAATTGTCTCTTGGACAAACGATGCTGAGACAGACAGACATCCACAAATTCCCATGTCACACCATCTAAAAAATCAATCCATGACTCAAAAATCAATCCATGAGCTAAATATATACAGATTTTAGAAGAAAACGTAGGGGTACATTTCCATGAACCTCGGATCTGCCAATGCATGACACCCAAAGCATGATCAACAGGATAAAAAAATAAATCTTGACTCTACCAAAACTACAAACTGCTATGTATCAAAGAATATTAAGAAAGTGAAAAGAGGTCAGGCCCGGTGGCTTACGCCTGTAATCCCAGCACTTTGCCAGGCCGAGGTAGGCGGATCACAAGGTCAGGAGTTCGTGACCAGTCTGGCCAACGTGGTGAAACCTAGTCTCTACTAAAAATACAAAAATTAGCCAGGCACGTTAGCATGTGCCCATAGTCCCAGCTACTTGGGAGGCTGAGGCAGGAGAATCACTTGAACACGGGAGGCGGAGGTTGCAGTGAGCCCAGATCAAGGCGCTGCACTCCAGCCTGGGCAACAGAGGGAGACTCTGTCTCAAAAAAGTAAAAAGATAACCTGCAGAATGGGAGAAAATATTTGCAAGTCCTATGAGAAGTGTTTAGTATCCTGAACATATAAAGAGCTCCTACAACTCAGCAAAAAGACAACCCAATTTAAAATTAGGAGATGGACTTCTCCCAAAAAATAACCAAGAGGTGCACGAAAAGATGCTCACTCAACGTCAATCATTAGAGAAAGGCAGATCTAAAGCACAACGAGACACCTGTTCACACACACTAGCATGGCCATCATAATTTAAAACATGATTTATAACAAGTGTTGATAAGGACTGAGAGACTGGAACCCTGGTGCACTGTTGGTGGAATACAGCTTGACAGTTCCTCAGCAAATAATTAAACGGAGTTACCACATTACCCGCAAATGCCACTCCTGGGTACATACCCGAGAAAAATGAACAGAGGTGTCCAAACAGTCGGCCATGAATGTGCACAGCAGCTTACTCACAGGGCTGAAAAGCAGACAAAACCCGAATGTCCATCACTGATAAATGAGGGAACAGAATGCGTCTACCCACACAATGGTATCCATGCACTAACATGCGTGACACACCACGCAAAGTGAAATAAGACACGAGGCCACAGCTGCATGATTCCATTTATATGAACTGTCTGGAACAGGGAAAACCTATTTCAGACAACAGAGATAGAAAGTCGATTAGCAATTGCCTGGGGAGGAGGAACAGAGGAGGGGAAATGACTGCTTCCTGGGGTGAGGAGAGAATGTTCTGGAACATGAGAGGTGGTCCCTATGCAACATTCTGAATTACTAAATGCTGCTGATGCTTCACTTTAAAGTGATTGACTTTTGGGTTATGTGAATTTCGCCTTAATTTAAAAGCCCAAACTCTCACAGTGCTCCCACCAGCTCCACCATGAGCAGACGGCGCTGGACCACGCGGAAACTTCCATGCTTCTCCCCGCCCCCTTCTGCATCCCCATCGTGGACTCTCTTTTGCCTTTAATCTGCTCTGCCCAGAGACTGCCTGTGTTCATCCCACCTGGCCGACTACGCTCAGTATTGCCTTGGCGAAACATCCTAAGAGCAAGCTACATTAGAGAAAAGCTCATTTCATCTCATAGCACATACACAGGCCATTTAGGAAGCCACGTGTTAGTGAAGGGAAACCCATGCTCCGCGCCGTCTGCAGCGATAACGGGGGCCAGGCCAGGCAGTTCCCAATCTCGTGTGTGTTTAGGGCTCAGGAAAGTGATGGTGAAGCGGGCGAAGGTGCCGGGGCCGCTCCACACTCCAGACTTCACTTCCGGCCCCGCTCCTGGGCCGCCACGAAGTGCAGCAAGTCAATGGCAGTGACCACCCCGAACACCATCTGCCGAGGACTGGACTTCTCGGGGCTGTGGTCTGAGGAGGGGAGAACAAGGCTCAGGTTTGCCGGCGCTGTGGGAGGCTGGGCGGGCTGCTGCGGGGCAGAAGCCTCCCGAGGGCCTGTGGGCACTTATGCACTGTGGAGGCCCAGGGCAGCCTGCTGGAGCCCAGGGGCCAAGGCTTCGTTTTTTTTTTTTTTTTTTTTTAGACAATCTCACTCTGTCACCCATGCTAGAGTGCAGTGGTGCAGTCTCAGCTCACTGCAACCTCCATCTTCTGGGTTCAAGCAATTCTCCTGCCCCAGCCTCCCAAGCAGCTGGGACTTCAGGTGCATACCACCACACCCAGCTAATTTTTGTATTTTTAGTAAAGACGGGGTTTTGCCATGTTGGTCACACTGGCCTCAAACTCCTGATCTCAAGTGATCCGCCTGCCTCGGCCTCCCAAAGTGCTGGAATTACAGGCATGAGCCACTGTGCCTGACCCAGGCCATGTTCTTCTGACATGAGCCCCATGGGCCCCAGGCTGGGCTCCATACACCACATCAGGACACACCCTTCCCCGCCCCCACCCCCAGGCTGTGATCCTGAGGCGCCCATGACTTCAGAGTCGGTGTGGCCATGAAATTCAAACCTGTTCAACGTGGCGGGGCACAGAGGCTCACACCTGTGATCCCAGCGCTTTGGGAGCCAAGGTGGGAGGATCATTTAAACCCAGAAGTCTGGGACCAGCCTGGGCAACATATTGAGACCCCATCTCTGCTGAATATTTAAAAAAATAAATTAGTCAAGCATGGTGGCACACGCTTTTGGTCCCAGCTACTTGGGAGACTGAGGCAGAAGGGTCAGTTAAGCACAGGATGTCAAGGCTGCAGCAAGCTATGACAGCAAACTGCACTCCAGCCTGGGCGACAGCACGGCCCTGTCTAAAAACACAGAACCCCTTCACGCTGTGGGTAACACACAGCTCCCAGCTCTGGCCTGATTCTATTTTCACCACTACTGCCTCCTCCTGGCCAGCATGGGCTGGGTGTTAATGCTGGCCCAGGATCCCACGCCGCATACCCGGACAGGGTTGTTGTGATGGTTAAATTTTTTTTTTTTTTTGAGACGGAGTCTTGCTTTGTTGCCTAAGCTGGAGTGCAGTGGCAAGATCTTGGCTCACTGCAACCTCTGCCTCCCAGGTTGAAGCAATTCTCCTGTCTCAGCCTCCTGAGTAGCTGGGACTACAGGCATGTGCCACTATGCCTGGCTAATTTTTGTATTTTTAGTGGAGATAGGGTTTCACCATGTTGGTCAGGCTGGTCTCAAACTGCTGACCTCAAGTGATCCACCCGCCTTGGCCTCCCAAAGTGTTGGGATTACAGGCGTGAGCCACGTGGCCTGTATTTTTAGTAGAGACGGGCTTTCACCATATGGGTCAGGTTGGTCATGAACTCCTGACCTCGTGATCCACCTGCCTCAGCCTCCCAAAGTGCGGGGATTACAGATGACTGTGATGATTAATTTTAATACAGATTAATATGGCCGTGGGGAGCCCAAGCATCTGGCCACAAATTCTGAGCGTGTGTGAGGTTTTCTGGATGACATTAGCACCAGAATTGAGCAGCGGATAATGCGTGCTCCGGTGGGGGGCCTCCCCCAAGCAGTTGAAGGCCTGAAAAGAACCGAAGTCCTGCCTTTGGACTTGAACCGCTACCCCTCCAGTCCCGGCCTGCCGCCTCCCCTGCCGATCTTGGAGGCTGTTGCCTCCACGGTCCCAGGAGCCAGTTCCTCAACACAGCCCTCGTTCTCTCCCATTGCCCACACATCCTCCTGGTCCTGTGTCTCTGCAGAACCCTATGCCCGTGGTCATGAGGCACAGGGGGTGTGCAGGGAGGGAGAGAAACACCAAGGCAGGGCCCTAACAGCCCATCCCTACTCCGCCACGGCTGCCACTCCTGTCTTTAGAGGCAAAGGCCCCTTGGGGTGGCTCACTTAGATCCCCAGGAAAAAACAGGGAACCCAGACAAGATTGACTCCCTGCGTTTCGGGGACACTGAGGCACAGCGACAGAGCTGGAGAAGCTCATCTGAGCAGCTCAGCTCTGAGGCACTGACCCAGGAGCAACCTGAAGACTTGCTGCCAGGGGCCAGGAGCCGGTATTCCAGGTCTGGGGACGGTACAGTCCCTGTCACGACTGCACAGCCCTGGCGCGCTTGGAAGCAGCCACAGACCGTGGTAACAAGCATGGCCATGCTCCAGGAAAACGTAATTTGGGCACCGACAGTGGAACTTACATCTTTTTTTTTTTTTTTTTTTGAGATGTTCAAACACAAGTAAATTTGAGACTAAGAGGGGAAGCCTCCTAACCAAGGCTCGGGGGTCCAGGACCCTGGAAGCCCCTCCTTTGCCATGGAGAGGCTGTGATTCTGAGCCCGAGAGCCATTCTGAGGGGTGGGTGATACCTACCTGCAGGCCCCCCCACCACGCCTGCCCAGGCCTGGTCCCGCGCTGCAGAGCCAAGGATGGGAGATGGGGTTAGACTCAGGGCCCTCACAGACCAGCCTCAGCCGCCGAGCGCTCACCCACCACACACAGGCCGGCAGGTGGGCAGGCTCTGGCCTGCAGGGCCCTCCCCAGTTCTTCCTGTGGGCCCCAGGCCAGCGGCTGCCATCTAGGACCCAAAACTTGCAAGCGACTCTCCTGGCCTGTGGGGGTGTGCTGGGGACGCCCAGGGATGTGCTCAGGAGTTGCAAAACTTCACAAGCTCAGCAGGAGCAGGGGCCCAGGGACAGCCCGTGAGTGGCTTCCAAGACCCATGTGGGGGCTTCCTTCAGATCAGCCCCTCAAAGGCCAGGAGGCTGCTGGGGCAAACGCTGCCTCTCCAGGGACTGCGGGACATGGCCAGGGTCAGGGTCAGGACTTGAAACCTTTCCAGATGTTTCTGGCCTTGTCCCTGTGAGTCCCCAAGACTGTTGGCCTCCCAGGAGCCAAAGGGCCTGGACTCCTGAGCCCGTGCACTCTGGACAAGGGGTCCCACCCAGTGTGGCCTGAGGGGTCCCTGCGGGAATCACAGGCTCGGTGCAGCTCACCAGCCCGGGGCGTGCGGGAGGCCCGGAGGGGGGAAAAGATGGGAGGGTCACTGGAGGTCGGCACCACCCATTCCCCTAACACCCTGCAGGGGGCGGGGGCCCAGCTGCTGCCCATGGCAGAGGCCAGGCTTGGTGGACTGACCCCAGTGAGACCCCCACACACAGAGCAGGGCCGCACTCACACTGGATCTGCTCATGCACCACCAGGGCGAAGTGGTCCGTCTCCAGGATGTGCGAGAGCCTGCCCAGCGTGTCCGTCAGGAGGATCTGCAAGGGATGTGCGTTCAGTAGGCGCCACCGGCCCCCGGAAAAGGAACACAGGGGAAGGGAAAGCATTGTGTAGAAGGGTCCTAACCTAGGCATCAGAGGGTGACAGGACGCCCCGAGAAAGACCCCTTGAGGAGGCTGGGTGTGGTGGCTCACGCCTGCAATCCCAGCACTTTGGGAGGCCGAGGCCGGCAGATCACTTGAGGTCAGGAGTTCGAGAGCAGCCTGGCCAACTTGGTGAAACCCTGTCCCTACTAAAAATACAAAAACTAGCTGGGCATGGTGGTGCATGCCTGTAATTCCAGCTACTCAGGAGGCAGAGTGTGGGGAACGTGTGGATTCGGGTGACATTTCAGGCATGTGTATGAGATGGAAAAGAAGTCAAACTCGCTCCTAGGTTTTGGGCGGAACCCTCAGCCTTTCACGCACGGGGGGTTCCGATTGGAAAGGCGCACAATCTTTCCCGGGCCACCCTCAGGGCAGCGGAAGGTGGGCTCTCGTGATAATTGTGGGGTGTGACCAGCCCGGCAAGGAGCCACCACAGGGCTTCTCCTGGAATCTCTAGCTCTTGCTGGATAAGCAGGTGCATGCACAGGAATGTGAGGTCTGGCATGAGGAAGAGCCCGGCAGAGGCCGCATGATGCTGGGATGGCCGCCGAGTGCCAGTGAGTCCCCAGAACACGGCTGCTGCGGATGAGCCCGCCCTGGTGGGAGCCTCCCCGCCGGGCTGCTGCATGTGTAAAGTGGGTGCTTCAGCTTCATGGTTTGAGGGGTGCAGCCGGCTTCGGCCTAAGTGGTGTTGAGGGTTGAGGACCCAGCACCCCGCACAGGAAATGCCGCATTCTGCCTTTGGGGCCAGGGAGGGGGGTGGTGGGGGGCGGGGGACCTGGGCACCCTCGTGGTCCCAAAGTGCCTGCATACCTGCTTGAACTGCTTATAGATGACTTTGCCAACTTGGTCCGATGGCTGCACCTTCCCGGCAAGCAGGGACGACAGCATGTTCCCCAGCGTCACCATTCCCAGGATCACCCTGTGGGGCGGGGGGTGGCTGGGGTCAGCGAACACCTCGCCCCTCCCAGGAGCCCCAGCAGAAGCGCTCTCTGGCCACACATGGAAGCCCGCTGCCACGACCCTACACATGGCAGGAACCAGGCTGGGCCCTGACGGGGAGAAAGAAACCAAGGGTCCTTGGCACTTCCTTTTCGCCGGGGTCAAGGGTGACCAGTCGTCAGGTTTCCGTGGCATGAGGTTCTCAGTGGTCACTGGGCATGCATGCCACGGCCTTCTGCTGTGAGATATGTCCTCGGGAAGTCTCTCCCCTGACCCCCAGGTGGGCCCAGGACAGGCTGCACCCAAAGGGTGGGTGGGCGAGGTCTGCGGGCCCGGAGTGAGCCCAGCAGCCCTGCCCCAGCTGCTCAGGGACTGGCACGGGGCTGTCCAATGCCCTAAACCCTGTCCAGTGACACCGATGGGGGAGGAGCTGGATGGACAGAGCCCGGGACTGAGCTCGGGGCAGGGGCTGAGACTGACCCTGCCTCGTCCACCACGGGCGCCTGGTCGAAGCCCTTCTCCCGGAGGATGGCGATGGTGTGCTCGCAGGTGACGGTTGGCAGCACAGTCAGCGGGGCCGACAGGCTCAGCTCCTGAACGCGGAGGTGCCACCACCTGAGGGGAGAGGGCAGACCGGGGCATGACGGCAAGGACAAATGCTCTTGCCACCTGGGTCAGCACCTCGGCAGGAAGCCACGGGGCCACTCTCCTGCCCGTCACAGCGGGGCAGGGCAGTGCAGGTAGCATGTCTCCGGGGATCGCTCTCCTGCCCGTCACAGCCAGGCAGGGCAGCACAGGCAGCGGGTTTCTGCCCGAGCGTCCTTACCAGGGCTTCTTCACCGAGAGGTCCTCCTCCTTCAGGAAGCCCTTCTGCACCATCCATCTGTCGCTCAGGAACTTGGTCCTGTGGGATGGGGGCGTCACTGAGGACCCGAAGGGCCACATCAGGCCTCTGCCCATGCTAGGGGCAAGCACTGCACACCCAGCCCCTCTCCTGGACCTCACTGGTGCAGCAGGGACCCCAAGTGCTGGCTGGAGGACCCAGGGGAAGCCTGGGAGCTGGACTTCCCACCCGCCATGGCCAACAAACCCGTGTGAGCATGCACACGCCATGGCTCAGGTGCTCAGGCTCGGCCTCTGCCCCTCGCCCTCGCACACACGCACGGGCTTACGCGACAGGCCTGCCAAGCGCGGGGGACGTGGTGTCCTTGCACCGACGGGGGTGGGCAGGGGCCTGCACAGGGCAACTTGGCCCTGGGCACCAGACATGAATCACCCATGCCAGGAACCCAACTGGGGCACCCACCAGCCCAGCCTGGCCCCCAAGGGCAGCTGAGCTCAGGGGTTGCAGGCCATGGAGGAAACCACGGGGGTCTCTAGACACTCGCCCCCATACTGCCCCGGAGGCCAGCTGCAGAGCACCCCAGTCTCAGCCCGGCTGCCCGGTGACCAGTGAGGTCTGTGGTGTTACTGCCTGAGGGGCTTCTGGGCAAAACAGTCACAGCAAGTCCCATGTGGCCACCTGGTTGCACTGTGCGGAGTTTGCAGGTCTCGGGCTTCCTGGGCAGCACTCGGTCCCAGCCCGGAGTTTGGGGGAAGCAGCAGAGGGAGTCAGTGGGCAGGAGGCGGCACAGGACCCGGCCCAACAGGACGTCAAGGCCAGGGCTGCCCCTTGGAGCTCGCGGACCCCAGATTAGTGGCTGGAGGTCGCAGAGGGAAGCCTGGGGGCTGGACTTCCCACCCTTCATGGCCAACAAACGCGTGTGAGAGGGGCAGACACCAGAGAAGGAGGGACAGGAGGGACGGAGAGGGAGCCATCGCCTTTCATGCCCCTCTGGTCAGCGCTGTGACTGCAAGCGTGCATTGATTTTCACAGCATTAAGGCAGCGTGAGGGCAGTGTTCGCAGGGCCCACGGCCCCCTCCCCTCCCAGCGCTGGCTGCTGGCTCTCAGGTGAGGCACATGAGGCTTCCAGGGAAGGGTGGCAGCGGAGAGGAGCAGGGACTGGGAGGGAAGCCCGTGTCTTACATGTAGTTCCGCACTGAGTCGGGCAGGATGACCACACAGCGCTGGCCCTCCTGCAGCTCCTGCGCGGCCTTCACAGCCACGGCCACCGTGCTGCCGGCACTGCCACCTGCAGAGAGGGCCACAGTCAGACGCGCCAGGTGAGTGCATGTGGGTGCAGGTGCCGTGGCTCACACCTGTCATCCCAGCACTTTGGGAGGCCAAGGCGGATGAATTACAAGGTTGGGAGTTTGAGACCAGCCTGATTAACATGGTGAAACCCCGTCTCTGCTAAAAAATGTACAAAAATTAGCTGGGCATGGTGGCCCATGCCTGTTATGGCAGCTACTTGAGAGGCTGAGGCAGGAGAATCGCTTGGACCTGGGAGGCAGAGGTTGCAGTGAGCCGAGATCGCGCCACTGTACTCCAGCCTGGGCGACAGAGCGAGACTCCGCCTTAAAAAAATCTTTTCTTTTTTTGAGACGGAGTCTCGCTCTGTCGCTCAGGCTGGAGTGCAATGGCGCGATCTCGGCTCACTGCAACCTCTGCCTCCCAGGTCGAAGCAATTCTCCTGCCTCAGCCTCCCAAGTAGCTGGGATTACAGGCATCCATCATCATGCCCAGCTAATTTTTGTATTTTGGTAGAGATGGGGTTTCGCCATGTTGGCCAGACTGGGCTTGAACTCCTGACCTCAGGTGATCTGTCCGCCTCAGCCTCCCAATGTGCTGGGATTACAGGCATGAGCCACCGAGCCTGGCCAGAAAATGGTTTTTCAATCAAGACTTGCTTCTAATCTCGGGGCTCTGTTATCAGGGACTTGACCACGCTGAGGGCTGCTTTCCTTCCACTTTCCCTGTCACCAGCCCCAAAGTGACATGACACAGGGAACACGCACGTGGAAGCCCTGTATGTCTCTGCCTGCGTTTTGGAAGCTGGCGTGTGCTCTCCGAGCCCCCAGAGGCCTAGATCGTCTGTGGTCCCCACAGGGCCTCTGCTGTGTGTGTGGCTGGTCAGCGGCCCTGCCAAAGGCCACCTGTCCACCCCCAAGCACGCAGGCAGAGGGGCACAGGGTGGGAGGAAGGCGAGTGGGGTCAGTCCTGGACAGCCTCAGGCTCCAGAGCCCCTCCCTACTGCTCCAGGGTGGTGCTCACAGCACCCGGTCCTGGCCATGGGCCCCGTCAATGCAGAGCCACGGCCCCAGGGGCCTGAGTGGGCTTGATTAGAAACAGTAAGTGCCAGGAGAGCTTCAGCCTTGTCTTAGAAACACATTCTGGAAGGCACCTCGAAGCCCCATCCCATGGCCTCCAGCCCTCACCTGAGCAGGTGATCACACTAGGCAGGTGAGGACCTGGGCAGGCAGACAACGCCCGAGGCTCACGGCCACCAGTTACATGCCTCAGAACTGCTGTCTCGGCCACGCGCGCTGGCTCACGCCTGTAATCCCAACACTGTGGGAAGCCAAGGCAGGTGGATCACGAGGTCAGGAGCTCGAGACCGGTGTGGCCAACATGGTGAAGCCCTGCCTCTACTAAAAATACAAAAATTGACTGGGCATGATGGTGGGTGCCTGTAATCCCAGCTACACAGGAGGCTGAGGCAGGAGAATTCCCTGAACCCCAGAGGAGGAGGTTACAGTGAGCAAAGAACGTGCCACTGCACCCAGCCTGGGCGACAGAGCGAGACTCCATCTCATTGCTGTCTTACACGTGTGGGCTGGTGGCTGGCAGAGGGTGCATCCCCAACCGCCTCCAGCCCGCTCAGCCATCCCCGCTGTCCCCATGCCCCAGCGGCCGCCACCCACTCACCACACAGCAGCCCCTCCTGGGAGATCAGCATGCGGGCAAAGGTGAATGCTTCCTCGTCATTGCTCTTGAACCACTTGTCCACCACCTGAGAGGGACCCCACGACAGCCCGTCAGCATGGGGGCCACTTCCGTGTGGCCAGGGGGGTGAACAGCCTCGTGGTGAACCCCATGTGTAGCTGGCAGGACCCCAGAGGCCACGCCCCAGCCTTTCCCCCCGGGATCCGCACATCTGCAGACCTTCCAGTTACAACACGTTTTGCAGACAGCAAAACCGCCCACCAGCCCCAGGGAACGTCCCTGTGACCTGTACTCCACTCTTACTCAGGCCAAAGCCACCTTTGTGGTTCTTAACAGAGTTTTCTGGGGCATTAATTTTCCCATGTTTTCCCTGCTCCCGGCCCTTGCCGCCCAGGCTGCGTCCCTCTGTGAGGTCAGGCCACATGGGCGGACATGGGCCCCAGGCTACTTCCCCGACCTTCGAGACCAGCTTCTCACCATGCATGCGTGCCAGGGCTCGCCCTTCCGTTCCCCTCCGCGGGGAAGCCGATGTGGGCCAGGAGCAGCTAGCCTCCCCGGCGTGAGGGTGAGTTATGGCGGCACCGGCACTGCGCCGGGCTGGGACTTGTCCTGTCTAACGGCAGCACCGGCACTGCGCCGGGCTGGGACTCGACCTACCGTCTGGTCTAACGGTGGCGCCAGCACTGCGCCGGGCTGGGACTTGTCCTGTCTAACGGCGGCGCCGGGCTGGGACTCGACCTACCGTCCTGTCCAGCACAGTGGGGATGAAGTCGTAGCCGATCCCTTCCACCTCGTAGGTGGTCACCTCCGTCAGGTTCAGCTCCTCTGGCTCCGCGAGGATGGAGCCTTCGGGGTCCACCCCAATGATCTGCAGAGCACGTGGCTTTAGGTCCAGCAAAAGCCTGGCTGGAGATGCCCAGCTACCACATTATCAGAGTGGCAGATGCTGCCACGAACAAGTGCCCACGGGTGGTGGCCTGTTCCCAGCCTCAGAGGCAGGACGAGAAACCCAGGAGCCCAGGCCCCAAGTATCAAAGCGATAACGACCTCATCTGGATTAAATGCTCAGTGCAGGGCACTCAGAAGTGAAGGCGGGTGTCTGGGAGGAAGCGACCTCCCCAGGGGCCTTTTGGAGCAGGGCCCCAGGACCACCCAGGCAGACCACCCTGTGGCAGGGCAGCTGAGCCTTTGGGACAAAGGGCATTGCTGGGCAAGCAACAGTCACAGGGAGAGAATGCGCTTCTCATTAGCAGGGCCTTTCTAGGTGTCCCTCCTCACCCCTGCTCTTAACCCTGAGTCCAGGAGCCCTCCCCCAACTCCCTCAAACCTCAGCTGAGGGGCAGACTCAGGACCAGAGGACTCAGAGCTCCTGGCTGATCCTCAGAGGCCGGCAGATGGAACTCTGGCCCCCACTCAGCACAGGAAGCCCCCTTAGGTCACTGGCCAGCGAGTGAGCACCTGGCCCCAGCTCCTTCGGGTCTCGAGCTGCTGGCCCCTTATCTGCCGAGCACCGTCTTCCCAAACACCTCCCGAGCCGCGAGGAAATACAGCAAAAGACCATGTGCCACGCAGAGCGTGAGGAACGAGTGCTTTCGGCTTGGGAGCAGGGCCCACTCCGCGCTGCCCACCCCGGGCCCGGCCGAGCCACTCACCTTGCATCCGGGACACTTCTCCTTCAGCTTCCTGGCGATGCCCGTGATGGTGCCGCCCGTGCCCGCCGAGGCCACCAGCATGTCCAGCTTCCCTGGTGGACAGATAACATTCTTGGGTCCCCGCCTGGCCAGCCCGCCACTCAAAGCAACAATCACTGAAAACACGCTCAGCGCAAACCACGGTGGGCGACCGAAAAATTCGAAAGAGAAACTTCTCCAGTCCGAGCAGCCGCCATGGCAGCCATCGGTCTGTAAAAGCCATTCAGAAGCAGGCAGCCTGGTGCGCCAGCCGTCTCTGCTCAGTGACACTCGGCCCCTACAACCCCCATTTGGCTGGATGCAGAAGGGCAGGATGCTGTCCGGGGGGTGCAGGCGCTGAGGGTGGGCGGAGGGAGGCTGCGAATGAATCAGCCCCTGGGCTGTGGATATCTGCATGGTGTGAGTTAACTGAGTTTACACAGGAAATGGAATCAGTCATTTAGGCTTTGGCTCAGAAACTCGCCAGATGCTCACCCTGCTGGTGGCCAGCGTGGGCATCTGGTGGACAAATCAGAGCAGGGAAAGACTCGGTGAGGCTGAGCAGCGTGGGCACCCGTGCTGAGGCAGGACTGTTTTTGCCAAACAAGAGAATTCTCACACCTAAAGCCCAGGCAAGAAAATGCCTAGACCTTACAGCCCGGCTCCTGGGCACACACCGAGGGTGTACTCTGGCCCCTGCCAACACCGGATTCCCAACAGGAAGTCAGGGCGCCAACCTCCTGGCAACTTCTCTCTAAAGGGATCTCTTGGGAAAACATCAGTACCAACCCCCACAGGCCTTGGCACCGATTCCCTGGAAAAGGGTCCAAGGCTCCAGCCTCATGCCTGAAACTGAGAGTGAGCTCATCGCACATGTCACCAGCCCTGTTTTGCAGATGAATTCAGTGCCCGGGTCGGGGCACGAACCCAACAGAAGCCCCAGCTGCGAGCCTAGCAGCAGCCTGGGCCCTGAACAGACTTACTCCCTGCATTCTCTACGGGAGGAGCTCCTAGACCTGGAGAGACTGCTGGGTAAACAAACACAGGCAGAGAGGCCAAGAGGGCACAAAGGACGGAGGAAACTGTTCTAGAGAGCATTTCACAAAGGGGACATTTGAGCTGGGTTTTGAAGGGTGAACAGGAGTTCACCAATGAGAGGGCAAGAGATGTGCCCAGGCAGCCAAGGATAAATGCAGTCAAAATGGACAGAGGGACGCACCGTCACACTGCTGCAGGATCTCCTCGGCAGTGCTGTCGTAGTGAGCCAGGGGGTTGCCGGCGTTGCGGTACTGCAAGGAGAGAGCAGAGCCCGTGAGCAGGCCCCGGACACCTCAGCCACCCCACATCCCTGACCGAGACCCCCCAGGGAATGCCTTCCCCCAGGCCCCGGCACCTCACCTGGTCTAGGATGTGAGAGTTGGGGATTTCATTCTTCAGCCGCCAGGCCACCCCCACGTGTGACTCTGGGGAGTCGAACCTGGCACTGGTGGGTGTCCTCACAATCTCAGCCCCCAGGGCCCGCAGCACGTCCACCTGCATGAGGGAAGGGGGTGACCTGCATCTTTCCCCGGCCCATGACCCCGCCTCCGGCCCGTGATCCCGCCCCCACCGCGCCCACCCACCTTCTCTGAGCTCATCTTCTCTGGCATCACGATGATGCAGCGATAGCCCCTCACGGCCGCAGCCAGGGCCAGCCCGATCCCTGAGGGGGCACAGAGGGTGAGAGGGGCCCAGTGCCCCCCAAGCCCCACCCTGCCCCTGCCTGGGACACAGGGGCACGCCCCCTTGCTGCTTCCTCTAGGGCCCAAGGAAGAGGGTTCTGTGGGATTCCAGAACTGCCCGGCATAGCTGCCTCTGCCTCCAAGTGTGGGGGAGAGAATGCCAGAGGCGGAAACAAAAGGCATGAAACGAGGAGGCAGCGGTGCAGGACGGGAGAGCCGGGGCCCCAGGCCCCGCCGGGTGCAGCCAGGTGCTCGTCCCATACCAATTCCCCAGCACTGCCAGCTGCCATCGCCCCAACAGCATCGGCACCCATTGGCCCCGACCCCGACTGCTTGTCAGAGGAGGCTGGGCCAGGACACACGCCAGCAGTGGGCATGAGCTGCCAGGGTGCAGGTGGCCGGGCAGACCAGCGCACGTGGCTACAGCTCAGCCTTTCCCAGGCCCCGTCAGGGTCGGCACCGGCAGGGGACCGCCGGCCGCCCCCCCCCGCCCCCGCCGGGCCCGGCACTCACCAGTGTTCCCGGACGTCGGCTCGATAATCGTGTCGCCCGGCTTCAGCGTCCCTGCACGCTCGGCATCCTCAATCATCCGCAGGCTGATGCGGTCCTTCACGCTGCCGCCCGCATTGAAGAACTCACACTTGGCCACTGGGAGGCAGTGAATCACAGAGGAGGAGAACCCCATTGATTCCTGCTCACCCCCATTACCTGACACATCCCAGGATGGGGGACAGGCTTGAGGGTCTGTGGGTTCTGAAAAATCACCACCTCTCCACCCTGACCCTTACACCTGCACCTGACGGTCGCCCATCAGAGCTTCTCCCCCTGCAGCCCATCCTACAGGCTCTGCATGGCACAGAGCAACTCTGTGGGAACCAGAGACATAAGCAGCCCTCACTGGGGGTGCCACCCCAGTACCCCCACCATAAGCTGGGCATGTAGCGGGCAGGCGCCTGGATTCGGGTCCCCCATGCCCCTATGCCCAGCCGTACCCGGCGGCCCCTGCCAGAGCAGCTTGATGTCCTGAAGCCACGGCCCCAGTCACACCCCAGCCCCACTGGATGGGGACTCACAAACTCTCCCCTGCAGCCTCCCACTGTCCTCCTTCCCCTGTGGGTCTCTGTGAAGGGGGCTGCTCTGATGCAGCTCCAAGAATTCCCTCCCTAAAGGGGCAGAGTAGGGGCAGGCTCCCACAAGGCCCTGACTACGAATCGGCCATCAGTCCTCAATGCACCGACCCCTGACTGCCTTCCTCCAGAGCCTGCCCCAGCTCTTACAAGTCGCTGTGACATGATAGCATCTCAGGATGAAAAAGTTCTAAGCCATGTTACTGGTTCCCTCGCCTTCCCACTCAAACTGCACCCCCTCCGCTGGCCCTGTCACGGGATTCTCCGTGGCTCCCGCCCTGCCACCCTCCGAACTCACTTGGCCTTGGTCATCTGAAATATGAAATTCTGTCCCCGCCTTGTCCCCAAGGCCTCTGCACCCACAGCTTTCTCCGTGACGATGCTGAGGTCTCTGAGGGGCCTGTGCTCTTGGTGAAGAGTGACCCTCACAAATTCCCTCCACCCTCTTGTGCCTGGAAACTGCGTCCTGCAAAGAACTGCCTTCCCCGGAAGCCTTAGACCAGACCCTGTGTGTACCCAGGACAAGGCCAGCCACAGACCCCCCCAAATTCCCACTGTCTGTCTCATAAATGATGAGCTGAACTGTCTGTCCCCAAAAAGCTGGCAAGACAGAGCCAACTGGTCCCTGGCCAGCGGGTGGCTCACAGCATGTGTCTAGGACCTGTCCACTCCTCCCTGGGAGGCGTGACGCAAACACTCCCGCCCTGCTTGCATCTGCCTTTGACCCTCACCAACTCTTCACACCCTCGCTCCTTCCAGTCTGGCCTCAGCTCAAAGATCACCCGTTCCCTGGTCCATCAGCTCGGGATCCACCTCAGTCACCCTCTGACACATTGTGTGTTCTTCCCAAACTTAAACTGACATGATCTCGGCCACTGATTAACCAGCGACTCCTGACCCCGTTGCCCACCCCCCACCCCAGGGCCTTGCCTACGCGATCCATCCCAGATCCCCGGGGCCCATGGAGCCCGGTGAGGATGGAGGAAGCCCCTCTCAAAGCCAGGGCACTCACAGAGCTCGCACTTCAGGCCGAACTTCTGCCCAATCTTGTTGATTCTCACCATGGGGGTGTCCCCGATCTTCTTCAGAATGTCTGGCAAGATTTTTGGAGCTTTTGCCCTGAAACAGAGGAGTCCACAGTCATCCAGGAAAAACACGAAATAGTACCAGCCCTGGCAGTCCAAGGGCCGGCCTGTTTTCCGCAAATCAGCAGTCACAGAACTGGCTTCATCTGGGGGTGGTTACACAAATGTATGCACAGTTACCCCTAACACACACCTCACACACATGCCTGAAACACACACATGCCTGAAACACATGCCTGAAATACATACACCCCCTCACACACATGCCTGAAACATACACACACCTCACACACATACCTGAAACACACATACACCTCACATACATGCCTGAAACACATGCCTGAAACACACGCCTGAAACACACACACACACACACACACACACACAGGCTTGCACCTAAAAACCCTATAAAAAGCAAATCTTGCCTATAGCGTGCTTGTACCAATGCCAGTTTCCCAGGTTTGAAATGAACTAGTCATGGAAGACGTTGGTAGCAGAAAGCTGGGAGAATGCTACAAAGGACCTGTTATTTTTGCAACTTCTCGTGAGTAGCAGGTTAGCAAACACTGACTCCAAAACAACAGACTTAGGTCCATCTTTTCAGAAAGGCTTTCCTGGGGAATTTCATTTCCTTTCATCTCTCAGCATCTGACCGAAGGAGGGAAAAACACAAAGCGCGGACCTCAGGGCAGAGACTCCTCAAACCTCAGGCCATCCAGGGACAATGGCCAGAAAGCGCAGCTGGGAGGCCTCGCCCTGCACAGAACATGCCAGGCACATGGTGGACACGGAGCCCGGCCGAGGCGCAGCAGCCCAGGATCCTGAAGCTCTGCCCTGCAGCATCCAGACATGCAAACCCTGGTCCAGGTGGTTTCCTAAATGGCCCTCATGCTCCTGCCATCCTCCCCCACAGGGAGATGCTGATGACACCCCTGTCTAACTGCACCAAGTCCTGGCTCACCACATATTCATCTGGGAACACGCACAGCTCACAGTGGTCTCCAGACCCCTCCCTTGCAGCTCCCGTGACACCCCGTGTCTCTGACCCCGAGCCCCCACCTCAGCACAGGCACCTGCTAAGCAGCCAGGGTCCTCGGGCCCTGCACCCTCAAGAGGCGATCCTTAGACCCGAGGTGAACCCAGCTCCCGGGGTCCTGTGGCATGGAGGGAGAGCCGCCCCGAAGACTCAGGCAGGCAGCAGCAAGAGTGGCTGGAGCCCAGGTGCGCCCTCCCAGGAACAGAGAGCAGTGCTGCCGCTCCCCAGGCTGCAGAGGCGCCGGCACAGAAGCCCAAATGGTGCAGGTTGGGGAGAGGCTCCCTCTGAAGCAGTCCTTGGTGGAAGGGAAACAGGCTTGGCAGGGTGCAGAGAGCCAGACGGAAAGCCAAGCCCCCAGTGACTGTTCGTTCATTAACTCAGTTCAGGCATCTGGGCGGCCAGGCAGGAAGGGGCCCGCCTCCCCGCAGCAGGTGTGCTGACTCAGCACTGGGCCTCGTGGCTGAAGTCACCTGAGAAATTGGCAGAGGTGGTCAGGGCCAGACCCAGAGCGCTCAGCAAGATCAAGGATGTGACTTGCAGGGACAGCCCTGGAGTCACTGACCTCAAGGACTCCCAACTCCACAGCCCAGGAGGCCCCCAGGAGGACACCCTACACGGTCCTAGAATGAACCCCAACTCCTACCCGACCTCTGCAGCCCCTCCCCCCAGCACCACCATTCTCAGGTGCCCTCTGACGGACAGGCGGCTAGGCTCCGCCCCTCAGGGTGAGGGCATCTCTGGAGGGTGAGCGAGGCCAGGGCGTGAGGGGCAGGTGCGATGCCCTCTTACAACCTGGTGGGCACTGTCTCCACTCATGCCCTAGTGCCAGGAGCTCACGGAGCCCTCAGGAATCCAGCCTCTCTTCCCTGCCCACCCCACCGCCCAGCAGCCACCCCCGACCTCACCGGGCCTCTCACCCACTGCTCTCTCCGGCTTGTCTTGGCAGCGAGAGTCCATCCACCTGGCTGCCCACCTGCCCTCGTGGCCTCCTGAGCTCCCAGCACTGAGTGTGTTCACCACTCACACCTGGGTTTGTCAATTTCACTTCTTCCTATTGCTCCACTGACAGTACACCCAGCCACCCCGCCAGTCCTGAACTGCAAATCAGCAACCATAAATGTTGGTAGTAGTGTACAAATAGGAATCATAATCCCAGCACTTTGGGAGGCCGAGGTAGGTGGATCACCTGAGGTCAGGAGTTCAAGACCAGCCTGGACAACATGGTGAAACCCCTTCTCTACTAAAAATACAAAGATTAGTTAGACGTGGTGGTGCAAGCCTGTAATCCCAGCTACTCCGGAGGCTGAGGCAGAATTGGTTGAACCCGGGAGGCAGAGGTTGCAGTGAGCCAAGACTGCACCACTGCACTCCAGCCTGGGTGACAGAGTGAGGCTCCGTGTTGAAAATAAAAAAAGAGAATCAAACATCTAAGCAGCATGTTCTTTGATCTATTTGTTCTCCTCCACGGAGATTATACTAAGGAAATAGAGATAATCCTAAGGCTTAGTGAGCTCAATTTCAGTTCGGTGCTGGGGTAGGGACTTTGCTTTATTTTTCTTTTCCACTGATAGACCCTGAGCAGGGCTGGAAATGCATGAGGCACTCAGGAAAGGCTCATTGGCCAAATGAATGTGTAGCGTTTTCTATTGCAGTGATTTAAAATGAGATAACTGCAAACGTTTATCTACCCAACAGAGGGCTTACAAAATTATGGCTTCTTCACCCAACAGTCTGTGCCACTAGAAAAAGAGCCCACTATGTAAAAATATTTAATGCCTAAGGGAAGTCTTTGTGACCTAGAGTTAACTGAAAAGTGCAGGCAGAGCTGGGTGCAGTGGCTCACGCCTGTAATCCCAGCAGTTTGGGAGGTGAAGGTGGGTGGATCACTTGAATTCAGGAGTTCAAGACCAGCCTGGGCAAACCCCATCTCTCCTAAAAATACAAATTAAGGCCAGGTGCGGAGGCTCACACCTGCAATCCCAGCACTTTGGGAAGCTGAGGCAGGTGGGTCATGAGGTCAGGATTTTGAGATCAGCCTGACCAACATGATGAAACTCCGTCTCGACTAAAAATACAAAAAAAAATTAGCTGGCCGTGGTGGCAAGAGCCTGTAACTTCAGTGACCCAGGAGGCTGAGACAGGAGAATCGCTTGAACCTGGGAGGCAGAAGTTGCAGTGAGCCAAGATCGTGCCACTGCTTTCCAGCCTGGGCGACAAAGAGAGACTCCATCTCAAAAAAAAAAGCAACAAAAAAATTAGCCAGGCGTGATGGTGGGTGCCCGTAGTCCCAGCTACATGGGAGGCTGAGGTGGGAGGATCCCTTAATCAGGAGAGGTTCAGGCTGCAGTGAGACACGACTGCACCACTGTACTCCAGTCTGGGCAACAGAATGAGACCCTGTCTCAACAAAATCAGTCAATCAATAAAGAGAGTGCAGGCAGGATCCCAGTTCCCTCCAGCGAACCTGCGTGGGCAGCCACAGACCGGGTGAAGCACATGTTGAGCATCTCGGTCTTGCTGGGACTGGCCTAGGCGCTGGGCGGCCGTGTAAGGAGGCCTGGTTCTCTGAGCCTCGGCTGCCTGCCTCATCTACACAGTGCGCCCCCACCTCCAGCTCCTCAATCCAGAGTGCCCACAGGGGGTCACACCTCAAGTCCTCCTGGCTGTGTAGTGTCCAGGTAACAAACTCCTGCCCTCCAGGACACAGATTGACCCTCTTGTGATCAAAAGCAGGACTTACAGGGCGGTGTGGTGATGCGGGGACTCGGAGGCAGGCCGGCCCAGCTTCCAGGTGCACCTGCTCGGGGCATCGGGCCGGATCCACAGGCGCTCCTTGGCTTCCTTATCCCCTGCGGGCCCCTTCTCCAGGCTCCCCTTTGCCGAGGGCGGCCCTAAGTGGTGGGGGCAGACTGCTGGCCCTGCTTCCGCCTGGGGTGTCTCGGAAGGCATGCCGGGACCTGGCAAAGCAAAAAGAGACACATGGGTTCAGGTTCAGATGCTGAGGGGTCCAGCAAACCCTGCTGACCTGGCCCCCTCTCGGCGGGGGCTCTGCTCCCTCAGAGAAGCCCTGGAAGAAGGGCACAGAAACACCAGTTCTGTGGGCAGCTGCTTGGTCATTTCCCTCTTAGGCATATACCAAAAAAATGTACCAAAAAAAATGGAAACAGATACTGGCTTGGGCCAGGCGCAGCGGCTCACATCTCTCACCCCAGCACTCGGGGAGGCAGAGGCCGGAGGATTGCTGCAGTTTGGGAGGTGAAGACCAGCCTGGGCACAAGCCCCGTCTCTATTTAAAAAAATAAAACAACAACAAAACAAATGCTTGCACACCCATGCTCACTGCTGCACTATTCACAAGTCAAAAGGTGGAGGAGGAGTGTGTGTGCATGGATGGATGGACACACACCAGAATACTGGTGCACGCATGTGCACGCGTGCACACACACACGCACACACACACGAATAGAGGCTCACACACACACACCAGAATACAGGCTCACACACACACACACACACTAGAAGAGGCATACACGCACACACACGCACACACACACACTAAAATAGAGGCTCACACACACATCCACCAGAATAGAGGCTGACACGCACATCAGAATAGAGGCTCACACACACTAGAATAGAGGATCACACACACACACACCAGAATAGAGGCTCTCACACACACTAGAATAGAGGCTCACATACACACACCAGAATAGAGGCTCACACACACACATTAGAAGAGACTCACACACACACACACACACACACTAGAATAGAGGCTCACACACACACATTAGAAGAGACTCACACACACACACACACACACACTAGAAGATCACACACACACACACCAGAATAGA